AGACTGACTTGTGGCAAAGCCACATACAAGTCCCAGCGTGGAGGGCACAGCCCTCCCAGCACAATTGTAGCCAAAGGCTGTGGTTGTAAGCTTGACCTTATAGTCCGACCCTGCACTCCTAGGTAGCCAAGAAATGGATGGGCTATGGGGAGTGCAGCAAGCGCGGCCTAAAGAAAACTTGATAGAGTTCAGAGAATGGCAACAACAGGAAAGAAGCAGATTTGAAACTTGTAAGAACATTATAAACATCTTGCTCTTGTTTTGCTTTGTGTGATCCTGGCTGTGTCACTGTTTCCTCATCCAGGCACAGTGATCCATATGGCCCCAATTGTATGCTCTTTGTTTCCTTTAATCCCTCACCATCCCTCCTCAGGTTCACCACTGGCCGTGCTGGATGCCGTTCAGGTTGGCTTTGGCTTTGGCTTTGTTGTTGATGCTCAGCAGTTCACTCTTTAAAACAAAATTAAAATTTTAATTGATTTTAGGATGGGAGAGAAATTGAAACATCAGTGATGAGAGAGAATCATTGATTGGCTGTCTTCTGCATGCCCATATTGGGGATCAAACCTACAACCCAGGCATGTGCCCTGACTGGGAATCAAACTATGACCTCCTGGTTCATAGGTTGATGCTCAACCACTGAGCCATGCTGGCCAAGCTCTACATTCATTTCTTTTGTCCTCAGTTAACGTGACCTCTCCCCACCTTGACTCTCTGATGTTTTCACGGTTCAGGGAATCCCGGTTATTGTTTAAGGTAGCCTGAATGCTTTAGGATTTCAATATTGAGATAAAGTAATACTGACAAGTTTTCTTTTTTGCTTTTGTTGGTATTAGTCTGCCACAATTAATTGGACTCGCAGTTGCCTTAACAGATAAGCAAGACTTAAATTCATGTTAAGTTCTGTGTTTTCTGAAGCAATACTAAAGGGGAAGGCTAATTTAAGGTCAAGGTACAAAAAAACTACTGTGCAATGTTCAATTTCTATTCAAGTGTAAAATGCGTAGGAATTCAAAAGAAACAGAACACACAGGAACAGAATGTTTTATAATATAAATGAAATAAATTTTTAATGTTCTTTTTTCATTAGCCATTAAAAATTAAGTGTTGGGCTCATGGGCCAAGGTTCTTTTTTAAAATATATATTTTATTGATTTTTTTTACAGAGAGGAAGGGAGAGGGATAGAGAGTTAGAAACATCGATGAGAGAGAAACATCCATCAGCTGCCTCCTGCACACGCCCCACCGGGGATGTGCCCACAACCAAGGTACATGCCCTTGATCAAGATCAAACCTGGGCCTCTTGAGTCCACAGGCTGACGCTCTATCCACTGAGCCAAACCGGTTACGGCCGTGGTCGGCAAACTGTGGCTCTTGAGCCACATGCAGCTCTTTGGCCCTTGAGTGTGGCTCTTCCACAAAATACCTGGGCCTGGGTGAGTCTATTTTGAAGAAGTGGCATTAGAAGAAGTTTAAAAAATTTGGCTCTCAGAAGAAATTTCAATCGTTGTACTGTTGATACTTGGCTCCGTTGACTAATGAGTTTGCCAACCACTGGGTTAGGGCATGGACCAAAGTTCTTAACAAAACTAACAAGAAGCTGATGGAAATAGTGGCCATGCCAAAACACACCTTTCGGGCTTTGGTGCCCAGCTGTGCCCGCTTTCTTTCAGTCCCTTGAACACGAAACTGGACAAACAATGGGTCCAGGCTGCCTGCCACTACTTGAGCCAATTAAGGAGGGACAGGGTTGAATCATATGTGAGTGTTTATTCCAATACTGCTGCCAGTATGGGAGAACAGCATGTTATCCACGAAAATCTGCACCATCTCCCCTCCCCCATAGCCAGATGCTTATATTGGGTAGAAGGACAAAGATTACATGGGGAAATAGGCCAAAGGAATAAGATGGTTATAATGGTTACAGGTTACAGGCAATGGAGGCTGGAGGGAGGGGAATGGGGGATGTTGTGAAGGGTTGGCACCTCTGGGACTCTGTTGTTTTGGCAACAAAAGCTGTTCATCTTTCCATGACAATAGGCAGTTCTTGGATAAGGAGAATGGACCACATTCCCAGGATAACTCCCGTGTCCCAGGGTGTGCACCTCAGCCAGGTTAGAATATGCTTTCTCTGATCGGAACAGAACAATCCTGGTTAACAGACCATCATTAATATTTCTTATAACTGTAGCTAACAATCATGGGAAACAGAGCACGATTAGCCCTGACCGGTTTGGCTCAGTGGAAAGAGCGTCAGCCTGTGGACTGAAAGGTCCCAGGTTTGATTCCGGTCAAGGGCATGCACCTTAGTCGTGGGCACAACCCCAGTAGGAGGTATACAGGAGGGAGCTGATTGATGTTTCTCTCTCATCGGTGTTTCTAATTCTCTCTCTCCCTTCCTCTCTATAAAAAAAAAATCAATAAAATACATTTAAGCCCAAACCGGTTTGGCTCAGTGGTAGAGCATCAGCCTGCAGACTAAAAGGTCTGGGTTCAATTCCGGTCAAGGGCTTGTACCTTGGTTGCGGGCACATCCCCAGTGGGGGGTGTGCAAGAGGCAGCTGATCAATGGCTCTCTCTCATTGATGTTTCTAACTCTATCTCTCTTCCTTCCTCTCTGTAAAAAATCAATACAAAAATATATATATATATATATTTTTATATTTCAAACAAACAAAAACACACCACAGAGCATGATTAATATTCCTGCCCATAATAAACATACTGTGTTTCCTCTCTTCATTAGTGACACAAGCTGTTACATTACACTGAAATACTATTTTTTTTTCTTAAAGATTTTTATTGGTTAGAGAGGAGAGAGAAACATTGATGTGAGAGCAAAACATCAATCAGCACCTCCATACCCCCACTGGGCATGTGACCCGACCAGGAATCTGGTCAGCAGCCCCTCAGCGCAGAGGTTGAGCCACGGGGGCCAGGGCGGCTGGAATACTGCTTACTCACCTTCTGTCACTCAGCTCAGGTGTCACTTCCTCAGGTCGCCTCTGACCCCCTCCTCCGGGATAGCCCACCTTCTGCTCTCTTCCCGAGCTTCTCCCTCGAGGACAGCGTCATCACAATTGTATGCTTCGGGAGGGAGGGGCCAGGTCTAGCTTACTCAGGACTCTAAGCCAAGCACCAAGAGCGGAGTACGCAGTAGGCACTCACGTTTGTTGAATGAAGTCCAACAATTATTAAGCACCAAGTGCTTCACTTCATTAACTCCTCACAGTAGCTCTGTAGGTGGATATTATCCCCATTCGCAGGTGAGGAAAGTGAAACCAGAAAAGTAACTTGCTCAAGGTCACACAGTCAATGAATGACACAGCCAGCACTTGACCTCGGCCACTTTGATGCCAAAGCCAGTGTCATTTGACTTTCATTTTTCTCATTGTGTGCAATTATTCCACTGAAAAGCCAGTGTTGTAAGCACAGTAGTGTGTGATCCACTGCAGGAAAGCAGACAGAGGGTCTGATCAAAATGCAGCAATGAGCCCTGGCTGGTGTTCTCAGTGGTTAGAGCATCGGCCCGAGCACCAAAGGTCCCAGATTCAGTTCCCAGACAAGAGCACATACCTGGGTTGCAGGTTACACATGGCTCTGCGCGCCCCCCCCCCCCCTGCCCCCTTCCTGGTACATGGTCCTGATCCTGTGTGGGAGGCAACCAATCGATGTGTCCCTCCCCTCCCTTCCCCTCCCCTCCCCTTCTCTCTCTCTCTGTCTCTGTCTCTCCCCCACCCCTTCTCTCTCTGTCTCTCCTCTCTCCCTTCTCTCTCTCTCTCTCTTCTTTTTCTCTCTCTCTCTTTTTCTTACTCCCCATCACTTCCACTCTCTCTTTAAAAAAAAAATTAAATACAGCAATGAGCTTATCCTGGGCATTTGTGGTGTGCCTTCCCAGCATCCATTCCCCCTTATCCAGTCACAGGCTCTGTTTTCACCTGGATAATCTGCAAGTCTCCTTGTTTCAGTCCAATGACCTGGGTGTGCTCAACCCCAGGGTGGAACACGGGGCCCTGCCCTCGGGCCAATCAGCAAAACCCACCCCGTCCAAACATGATTGGTCAGGAAAGGGCTGTGCTGTCAACAGGAGCCCACTGGGACTCAGGCTGGAGGAACGATCTTACGTATATATCATTCTGAGCCTGAGGAGGAAGGCAGTGAGAAAATAATATGGAGTTGTAGTCAAAACAGGTTTTGTGGTTTGGGGAATCAGGGCTTTTAAGACTGGTTCTTTAACTTGTGAAATGTAAGAAACTTTCTTTCTTTCTTTCTCTACACCTTAGTGTTGTCTATAGAAAGTGAGGATAGGCCTGGCCGGTGCTGTTCGGTGGTTAGAGTGCTGTTCCACACACTGAAGGTTGCAGGTTCAATCCCTGGTCAGGGTACGTGAGGCAACTGATGGATGTTTTTCTCTTGCTCTCTCCCTCTTTCTTGCTCTCCAATCAATGAAAAACATGTCCTCAGGAGAGGAGTAAGAAAGAAAAAGTGAGGATAATGTTTGCCAAACCACTTAAGGCAAGAAGGAATTGGTGAGAATGTGCCTCGTACTTTGCACTTGGCCGTCATTTACCTTCCAACATGCCAGTAACATCTCGCCAGGTCCCCGCGGCTTTTCCTAGTTCTCCCTCCAGACCGACCAGGCAGGAGGGAGTGGGAGAGGAAGGCGGCCCACTCTGGGGAGGTGCGGTGGGGGGAGACTCATGCTCCACGGAATCAGGTGGATGTCCAGACCTCCCGGTGACAGGAACTGTTCCCATGTCCCACAGAGAGCTGAGCGTCTCCCTTTCTGCTCTCTGGCTTTCACAAACGGGGTTTTGGACTTGAATTTTTCAAAACACATTCTGATCCTTCAAAACTGCCGTTTCCAAAGCCTGCTAGCTGTGTTCACTAGAACAGCTACCGGGCTGAAGAAGGAAAAACCTGTACGTCTAAGCAGCTTAGCTTCCCACGAGGAAGGAAAGCCCCCCAGAGACGTAAAGAAAAATGAAACCAAGCCAGTAAACATATAAACTATTTATTTTATTCCCATCCCTAAAATGCATATGAATTTATTGATCTGTTATTTAAAATAGGCCTTTTTGCAAAATCATCTCAGAAAATATACTAAATTTATTAAAATACATGCAAACTGTTTCCGAAAATGCTACTCTGAAACCCTCTGACTGATCAGCCCAACACTTATTTTGAACACACTTAATGATTTTCAGAGGTTTTCGTGGTTGCAAGGAACAAAGAAATCACCTTGGAAGGGGGTGGAAATTTGATCATCATAATCCAACAAATACTCGCCCACTCCTCTCCACGCTCACAAACGGTCTGGTCTGGGGGCTCTTACAAAGTGCGCCTAACCGTACGAGGGCTTCCTGATGGCTCACGAGCCGCGATGTGCCGCTCTGTTGACTAACGAGTTTGCCGACCACTGGGATAGGGGCTTAATCACAAGGAACAGTCACAGCCTGGAATTATTGGAATCGAGAGTCTAGGTCAGTGGTCGGCAAATTCATTAGTCAAGAGAACGGCAAACTGTGGCTTGCGAGCTGCATGTGGCTCGAGAGCCGCAGTTTGCTGACCACTGTGCTAGATAATAAGGAAAATGAACCCAAGAACCTTAACTGCCTTAAACAGTTTCATGAAAATACTAAAGTGTCAAGTATCATTTTCAACTAGTCTTCCTTTATTCAGTTTGCGAATCATTAAGGTTTTTTCATTTCTCCTTTCTCAAAGTTTTCTTTTGAGTGATTTAATTACTTATTTCACCGAGCTCTCAAATCAAAGAGGGGGTGAAATTCAAATCTATTGGTAACAACTAAGACAGCTGAAGTTACTGAATAAACTAAGGCTTTCGGATAATGGTAGACTTCAATTATAAAAGCTCATTGTTTACTTCTATTTTTTAAAATATATATATATATATATATATATATATATATATATATATATATATATTTACTTTAGAGAAGAAGGGAGAGGGAGGGAGAGGCAGAAACATCCATGATGAGAGAGCATCATGCCTCCTGTATGCCCCCCCTGGGGACTGAGCCCACAACCTGGGCATGAGCCCTTCCAGAATCTAACCGTGACCTCCGGTTCACAGGCCAACACCCAATCACCGAGTCGCTGCTGGCTGGGCTCACTGTTTCCTTTTAAAGGGGCGTCCAAAGCTCTTTTGTATTTGTATTGTTTTCTTTAGCTAATTTATTCAACAGATATCTCTTGAGCACGTATTATATGCCAGGCATACATATTTACAAATGATGGTGTTATAAAAGAAAACAGCGTACGTAGAAGAAAACTCGAATCCAAGCGCAGCCGGAATAAAACTAGAAAACAGCGATGCGACCTAACATGGACAGATGCTAGGGAGATGATGGAAAATGGCTAAGCAGGGTGTAAAGTAAACTTTTTAGCATGACATTCAGCTTTACCTGAAAAGGGTTTCTCTTTTCCCAATTAGCATTTAAGTGTAAAACGGGAGCCTTAGGTGACTCAAGCCATCTGCTCTGCTCCCCGCTGGCCTATTTCACGGCGTAGCCGCAGATGTGCGGGCGCACCAGCGGCCAGGACAGCGGGGCCTGCAGGCGCTGCAGCTGCAGCTTGGAGAAGCCGGCCCGCTCCACCGTCTTCCAGCTCTCTCTGGTCAGGCTGCACCCATCAAACACGAGGTACCAGACCGGCTCCAGGACCTGCTGCCAGAAGTGACTCCAGGTCGAACGCTCAGCTGCTACATGCTCCAGGAAATAAAAAGCCCCTCCCTGGAAAAGAAAAGAAAACCCATTTCAAGGATTTTAGTTTGGGGAAAACAGATTTATAAGATGATTGGAAGCATCCGATATCAGTGGCCCCAGAGATCAACTTCGTGAGAAGACATGGATAAGTCACTAAAACAGCATTTTGGTCAATAGTTTCATCTGTCAAATTTTATTCAGACCTGCTACTCTAAAGCAATTATTGCCACTTCTATTTTCTGATCATAAAAGCAATACATAATAATAGCTAAAACTTAAAGCAGTTACTTTCTACTAAAAAATATGTATTTTAAAGAAATATACACACACACACACACACACACACACACACTCTAGAGGCCCGGTACATGAAATTTGTGCATGGGGGGGGGATCCCCTCAGCCCAGCCTGCACCCTCTCTGATCTGGGACCCCCCTAGGGTTGTCTGCCCGTTTAGGCCTGATACTGGTGGACATCCCTCTCACAATCCAGGACTGCTGGCTCCCAAACGCTCGCCTGCCTGCCTTCCTGATTGCCCCTAACCACTTCTGCCTGCCAGCCTGATCACCCCCTAACCACTCCCATGCCGCCTGATTGATGTCTAACTGCTCCCCTGCCAGCCTGTTTGCTCCTCTGCAGTCCTTGTCACCCCTAACTGCCCTCCCCTGCTGGCCTGGTCCCTACCAACTGCCCTCCCCTGCTGGCCATCTTGTGGTGGCCATCTTGTGTCCACATGGGGGCAGGATCTTTGACCAATGGGGGCAGCCAGCTTCTATGTTTGAGTGATGGTCAAACTGCATATTATTCTTTTATTAGATAGGATAGAAGTCTGGTGCATGGGCGGGGGCCAGCTGGTTTGCCCTGAAGGGTGTCCCAGATCAGGGTGGGGGTTTGGGGTGGCCTAGGCGAGGGGCCTGTGGTGGTTTGCAGGCCGGCCACACCCCCTGGTGACTCAAGCAGAGGCCCTGGTATCTGGAATTTATTTACCTTCTACAATTGAAACTTTGTAGCCTGAATTGGAGGACTAGGCCAGCCAGGACTGCATAAGCCGGGCTTCCTCCATTGCCAGGGCCAACTCAAGCTTCCTATTCTCTCCAGCTCCGTGGCTGCTGCCATTTTTGTTGGGATTTATTTAACTTCTATCGTTGAAACTTTGTAGCCTTAAGTGGAGGCCAAGGCAGGCCAGGACAGGTGGAAAGCTTGGCTTCCTCCGTTGCTGGAGAAACCCAAGCCTCCTGCTCTCTCCATGACTGCAGCCATCTTGGTTGGGTTAATTTGCATACTCACTCCTGACTGGCTGGTGGGCATGGCTTGTGGGTGTAGTGGAGGTATGTTTAATTTGTATATTATTCTTAAATAGGATATATATATTTATTTAATTTCAAAAAGGGAGAAAGGAACAAAAGATCAATGATGAGAGGGAACCATTGGTCAGCTGCTCTGCCTCCTGCACACCCCTCCCCTACTGGGGATCGAGCCTGCAACCCAAGCATGTGCCCTTGACTGGAATCGAACTCAGGACCCTTCAGTCAGCAGCCTGACGCTCTATCCACTGAGCCAAACCAGCTAGGGCTGAAGTGTCTTTTGATAGATGATTGGGTAAAGAAGATGTGGTACCTTTGTACAAAGGAATACTATTCAGCCATAAGAAAATATGAAATACTGCCATTGCAACAACATGGGTGGATCTTGAGACTCCCATGCTAAGTGACATAAGTCAGACAGAAAAATTTGAGACTATATGATTTCACTCATGTGGGATATAAAACTGAAAACAGCAAAGAGCAAACAAACAACTCAGACATAGACAACAGTACGGTAGTTTCCGGAGAGGAAAGGGGTGGGGATGTAGTAAAGGGTAAAGAGGGTCAAATGTTTGGTGATGGAAGGAGATTTGACTTTGGGTGGTAAGCATACAGTGCATATACATGTATTATAGAACTGTACACCTGAAACCTATATAATTTTATTAACCAATGTCACTCCAATAAATTTAACTAAAAAAAATTTTATATCAAATAGCCCTCCAAGGACAGCACTTCCTCCAATGTGCATGGGGTGTCCCATCTCCCAAACGCACCCCCACACCACACTGACCTTAAAAATCTGACAGTGCAATAAGTAAAAATGATATCTTGCTTTAACTTGTTCTTTAATTGTAAGGTTGAGCATTTAAATCATATTATTGGCTGTTTTTATTTATATTTCTGTTCCTGCTCTTCGCCTGTTTTTTTCCTTGTTTTTTTTTTTTGTTTTTTTTTTTTAAATCCTACCACCTGGCAGGTGTGGCTCAGTTGGTTGAAGATCAGCCCCTGCACCAGGTCACTGGCTCCATTCCCCGGCAGGGTACATGGTGCCCAAGTTGCAGGCTCGATCCCCAGAAAGGGGTGTGCAGGAGGCAGCCAATCAGTGTTTCTCTCTCACTGATATGTCTATCTCTCTTCTCCCTTCCTCTCTCTGAAGTCAATAAAAACCTATTGTAAAACATCCTACTGACCTTTGACTAGTGATGTCATTTAATAGGAAGAAAGTTAACTCTCTGTCTATCGTCCCTGGCCAAAATTCTTCTAAGTTTGTTCTTGTTTATAGTACTTTCCCCCTGCAGTTTAATTTCTTTTTTTTAAGATGATTTTATTGATTTCAGAGAGGAAGGGAGAGATAGAAACATCAATGATGAGAGACAATCATTGATTGGGTGCTTCTTGCACGCCCCACACTGGGGATCCAGCCCTGGGCATGTGCCCTTGACCTCAATAGAACCCGGGACCCTTCCGCCCTCCCTGCATTTTGTGTATTCAGATTTACCAGTCTTTCCCTTTATAGCTTCTTCCCCACTCTAAGATTAAAACACAAACAAATAAATAATCCACAGTGCCTGTCTGGTAGTTTTACTTTGCACACTGGGATGTGGGAGTGAGCGGCAATGGACAGGCAGCTCTTGGTGGTGGCGGGGGCTCCCCACCAGCCCTCCTCGCGCCGACACTCACCGGCCTCAGCACCCTGCGCACCTCCTGCAGGATGCGCTCCTGGTTCTGCACGGAGCACAGGACCAGCGTGCAGACCACCGCGTCCACGGAGCCGTCGGCCACCGGGCGCATGTCCTCGCCGGCCGCCACCACGAAGCGCTCAAACTGCACGTGCCGGTTCTCGGCGATGCTCTGGATCAGGAACTTCTCGAAGTTGGGGTTGGGGTCCACGCAGGTCACCCTGCAGCCGGGCGGGTAGAACTGGAAGTTGGCGCCGGTGCCACAGCCCAGCTCCAGCAGGCAGAGCGCCCCCGAGGGGCCCGCGTGCTCCTGCAGGCTGCCGAAGAGCCCGCGCTTCGTGCTCGCCATCTGCCTGTTGTACACCGAGGAGAACCTCGCCAGGAAGAAGGGGAAGCATCTTTTGCAGATCCAGCTCCACACGCCCAGGAAGTCCAGCAGGTACAGGGGGAGCGCCAGGACGCGGACGGCCAGCTGCAGGAGGAGGACGGTGGGCGCCATCCCTGGGAAGAGGAGAGCCGCCCACGCGGTTGGGAGCGCGGCTCCTTTAAGGGCAGGAGGAGGCCTCCGGCCGCCAATCAGCTTCCGAGCTGGGATCCCGGGCGGGAGGCCAGGGCGGCCGTTCGGTAGCCGCGGACGGAGGCTGACTCAGCTTAGTTTTCATGAAGCGACGGAGAAGGTCCCTCCCGGCTTCTCCTTCAAAGGAAAGGGGCGCCCAGGCCCTTGTCCGAACCTGCGCCTCCTCCTGCACCTGCCCCCGCCCCTCCCCGCTCTGGGCTGCCGGTTCCCAGCCTGACAGGGCGCAGGTCTCCCAGCGAGTGACCTGGGGAGGGGCGCCCGGGCGGAGCCGGCCAGTCTGAGCCGGAAGCCGCGGCCAGCTCCCCCCCTCCTCCCGCCCTGTGCCCCCTGACCCCTGCCCCCTGACCCCCGCCTGCCCACCTGCGCAGTTGAGAAATTTGCCTTTCTCGCTCTGCGCTGACACTCGCAGGGGCTCCTAACTCAAACTGGTATCTTTAAGTCACTGTTTGGGGCTGTCCATCTTTCAAAGGGCAAGTTTCAGTTTCCAACGGTGCACCACACTGTTCAGCTAACTTAGATAAAAACAGTTCCCCAGAGTGTGCACATTTGGGAACCTAAGGCATTCAGATGTGTTTTCAAGCATCCTTCAATTTTTAGCAAGAAAAGCCCCAGCTTTCGGCTGGTTGGGGAACACAGCATTTTTTTTTTTTTTTTTTTTTTTTTTTAGCAATTTTTAAAAATAATGATGACATTGATTTTTTAAAAAACTGGGCGATGATGCCGAAACCGGTTTGGCTCAGTCGTAGAGCGTCGGTCTGCGGACTGAAAGGTCTCAGGTTCGATTCCGGTCAAGGGCGTGCAAGAGGTAGCTGGTCGATGTTTCTCTCTCATTGACGTTTCTAGCTCTCTCTCTCTCTCTCCCTTCCTCTCTTAAAAAAAAATCAATAAAATATATTTTTTTAAAAAGAAAAGAAAAGAAATACCACTGTTTAAAAAAAAAAAAAAGAAATAAAAGCTGGGTGATGGATCCAGAAAATGTGCTATTATTTCATTATTTGTTATACCCTACACATATTTTATAAATAGCATGTCTTCCACTTTTAAAATTTACTGATGAGAGAGAGATTTGCTTTTCATTTATTTATGTGTTCACTAATTGATTCTTGTATTTGTCCTGACTGGGAATCAAACCCACAGCCTTGGTTTATCAGGACAATGCTAGTGAGTGTAACTGAGCGGCCTGGCCAGAGCTATCTATTCCTGATTTTTGTTAAATATATTTTTATTGATTTCAGAGAGGAAGGGAGAGGGAGAGAGACAAACGTCAATGATGAGAGAGAATCACTGATGGCTGCCTCCTGCACGCCCCACACTGGAGACCATGCCCGCAACCCCAGCGTGTGCCCTGACCTCCTGGTTCACCTGGCTCACAGGTGGAAGCTCAACCACTGAACCACACCAGCCGTGCTCTATTCCATTTTTAACAGCTTTTCCGAGGTGGAGCTGGCATACAATAAATTGTACTGCATACTTAGACGCAGGGATACAGAGAACAGGCTGATAATTGTCAGAGAGGGTGAAAAGGTGAAGGGACTCAGCAGTACAAGTTGGGAACAGTCAGAATAGTCAGTCATGGGATGTAAAGTAAAGCATAGGGGATATAGTTAATACTGCAGAAACTACCGTATTTTTCGGACCATAAGACGCTCCGGACCATAAGACGCACCAGTTTTTAGAGAAGGGAAATGAAGAAAAAAAGATTCTGAAACAAATAGTGTCCTAAAATATTTTATGTGCATTAAAACCCAACATCACAGTCATAAACACATGTAATCAACCCTGTAAAGTAAACAGCAGCATTTAGAACCATTTTAGAGCCGGGCAAGCACACAGAGACCACACAGAGCCGGGCAAGTAAAAAAACTTTTTTTTTAAAGTATATGTGTAGGCTATATTTGGACCATAAGACGCAGGGACTTTTTCCCCCCACTTCTGGGAGAAAAAAAGTGCGTCTTATGGTCCGAAAAATACGGTATGTTTAGTGACAACTTAATAAATTTTGACATAGTGTGTACACACCCATGAAACTATTATTTCAATTAAGAGAAGGAACATTGCCAAAACCGGTTTGGCTCAGTGGTAGAGCGTCGGCCTGCGGACTGAAAGGACCCAGGTTCGATTCCGGTCAAGGGCATGTACCTTCGTTGCGGGCACACCCCCATAGGGGGTGTGCAAGAGGCAGCTGGTCGATGTTTCTCTCTCATCAAAGTTTCTAGCTCTCTATCTCTCTCCCTTCCTCTCTGTAAAATGTCGATTTAAAAAAAAGATTTAAAAAAAAGATAAGGAACATAACCATCACGCCTCCCTCAATTTTCCTCTTGCATCTTTGTGATCAACTTTCTCCTCCCCTCCCCATCCCAAGGCCACCACTGATCTGCTTTCCGTACCTAGAGGTTAGTTTGCTTTCCTAGACTTTATGTAAATGGAGCCACAGAATATGTGGTTCTTTTATCTGTCTTCTTTCACTCAGCATATTTTGAGAGTTGTCAATGTTGCACATACCCACTGACTTTGGGGTGTTCTATTGTATGGCTGTGTAACAGTTTACTTGTCCATTCACCTGGACCTTTGGTTGTTTCTGGTTTGGGGATGTTACAAATTCAGCTATAGTAAACAAGTTTACATTTCTTCTGAATAAATTCCTATGAGTAAAATACAGGTGTATGTCTAACTTTTAAAAATATATATTTTTATGAATTTCAGAGAGGAAGGCAGAAGGAGAGAGAGATAGAAACATCAATGATGAGAGAGAATCATTGGTTCGCTGCCTCCTGCATGCTCCACACTGGGGATCAGGCTCCCAGCCTGGGCATGTGTCCTGACCGGGAAACGAACCGTGACCTCCTGATTCATAGGTCGAAGCTCAACTACTGAGCCACACTTGTGAGCTAACCTGAATTTTTAATGTTTACTTAGTTTAGGAAGGTAAATGCTTTCATTAGAAAGGCTTTATTTTTGTATATTCAAAGAATCTTGGAAACTTCTTGCAGATATTTTGGTATTTCACAAGATATGTAATTATTTCTCTGGTAAATTTGTATCAGTAATTTGAAAATGAAATACCAAGAGAGGCTAACTCTTTCTTCAGCTTACCTGCCTTTAGAGGATGTTAAATGCAACCAGTTTGTTGGCTTGATATTTCTTTAGGAGCTTAATGACCAGTAAATATAAAATATTGGTAATGACCAGAAGGTATAAAATACAACTAGAATTAACTACGCATATACCTAATTATATATAGGTATGTGTGTAGTTAATTAATCATACCTATATAATTAGCAGCATACCTAATTATATATAGTAGTGTAGTCTCAATTATATCTAAAGGCAATTATGAAGAACAAGTACTCTTTGTCTTAAAATTTCCAGATTTATACTATACTAGAGGCCCGGTGCACAAAATTTGTGCATGGGGGGGTGTCCCTCAGCCCAGCCTGCACCCTCTCCAATCTGGGACCCCTCAAGGGATGTCCAACTGCCCGTTTAGGACCAATCCCACCAGGATCGGACCTAAACGAGCAGTCAGACATCCCTCTCACAATCCAGAACTGCTGGCTCCCAACCGTTCACCTGCCTGCCTGCCTGCCTTCCTGATTGCCCCTAAGCACTTCTGCCTGCCAGCCTGATCACCCCCTAACCACTCCCCTGCCAGCCTGATTGATGAATAACTGCTCCCCTGCCAACCTGTTTGCCCCTAACTTCCCTCCCCTGCAGGCCTTGTCACCCCTAACTGCCCTCCCCTGCAGGCCTGGTCTCCACCAACTGCTCTCCCCTGCAGGCCTGGGTCCCTCCCAACTGTCCTCCCCTGCAGGCCTGGTCTCTCCCAACTGCCCTCCCTCGCTAGCCATCTTGTGATGGCCATCTTGTGTCCACATGGGGGCAGGATCTTTGACCACATGGGGGTAGCTATCTTTTGTATTTGAGTGATGGTCAATCTGCATATTACTCTTTTATTAGATAGGAAAGAGGCCTGGTGCATGGGTGGGAGCCAGCTGGTTTGCCCTGAAGAATGTCCCAGATCAGGGTGGGGGTTCCCTTGGGGTGTGGGGCGGCCTGAGCGAGGGGCCTGTGGTGGTTTGCAGGCCAGCCACACCCCCTGGCAACCCAAGCGGAGGCCCTGGTATCTGGAGTTTATTTACCTTCTACAATTGAAACTTTATAGCCTGGAACAAAGCCAAGCCTTCTGCTTGCTCCTTGGCGGCAGCCATTTCTGTTTGGATTTATGTATCTTCTATCATTGAAACTTTGTAGCCTTGAGTGGAGGCCTAGGCCGGCAAAGGCAGGCAGAAAGCTTGGCTTCCTTCATTGCCAGGGAAACCCAAGCCTCCCTCCTGCTCTCTCTAGCCATAGTCATCTTGGTTGGGTTTATTTGCATATTTGCTCCTGATTGGCTGGTGGGCATGACTGGTGGATGTAGCAGAGTGATCATTAATTTGCATATTACTCTTTTTTTAGATAGGGTTTGTGAATGTAAAGGATTATATAAATAATCCCGATGCATGGATTTGTGCACATTAAAAGGACATTAATTAAAGAAATATTTTAATGCTGTTTGCCCTTTCTCTATAATAGAAATGTCAACTAAATTCATGATTGACAATGACAGATGGAAACAAACGTGTGCGATTGGTGCCAGTTATATATATAGTGTTTCCCCAAAAATAATACATCCTCCGAAAATAAGACCTACGTACAGGTTTCCTTCTGAGTGAAATATAAGGCATTCCCCCCAAAATAAGGCCCCCCTAGGCTAAACATGAGAGAATTGGTCCACTGATTCTGAAAGAAATGGAGTCACAAGAAATTCACCAGGAAATTCAGGAATTGGATTGTTATGATGATGTTCCAGAAGGTGATGGCATGATTGTCATTGAATAAATCAGTAAATTCTTGATACTGTAGGATTCACAGTTTGTCTGGTTTATGTTGACAACTACCGTACTACTGTACCGTATACAGGTAATGAATTTCCTTTATTTTCATTTAACAATAAATGTGTACCGTATTCTTCTCCATGGAAAAATAAGACATCCCTGAAAATAAAACCTAGCACATCTTTGGGAGCAAAAATTAATATAAGACACTGTCTTATTTTCGGGGAAACAGGGTACTAGAGGCCAGGTGCACCGAGTTCGTGCACCAGTGGAGTCCCTCAGCCTGGCCTTTGGGATCGGGTCAAAACTGGCTCTCCAACATCCCCCAAGGGGTCCTGGGTTGAGAGAGGGC